CCTCCCCCCTCTCAGCCTCTGTGGATATGAAGCAGATGCTGCCGATGAAGCTTTCCGCCCGAGAAGACAACGCCCTCAAGTCCAAGCGCTCCATCAGCCCCCACCAGCAGCTCCCGCTGTCAGCCCCTCCTCAGTCTCACTCCCTGCATCACCACACAGGTACCCTTTGATACACACACACATATATGTTCATAAGTGCACACACACGCTTCCTCCTTTGCTCCATCAGGTCAAACCCAAACACAGTCTCCTCTCGTCTGTCTTTGCCTGCTGCATTATTAAACTCGGTTCTCACACACACACAAACACATGCAACACACACATTCTCCACCTGGGCAAACTGGACCCCACCCAATCACGTTCCTCTCTAAAGCTTACCTTCATGCCCAGCCGCACCCTGTGTAAACACCTATCAATTTCACATGCTCCACTGTGATAAATGGCAGGCTGTACTGCTGACACAGACATTTTAACACCTTAATCCTGTGCCCTCACAATTACAACTGACAAAGAAAACCCTCGTAGGATTTCACGTAATAGATTGCAGTTAGGCTGAGTAAACCGGACTGTATTAAACAGGTGCAAATGACTAATCTGTCTGTAGTTTTTATGTTTATTTTGGGAGTACTGCCTTGTTCTCTAATAGCTTTTCACGTATGTCTCTGACAGATCAACTCAGTCCTCCAGACATCGCTGGACCAGATACCCAGTCCACCTCCTCCATCAGCACCTCCCACCCTCCAAATGTTCAAAAGCCCCCCATGCCTCCTGCACAGTCCCATCCTCAGCCCCCCATGCAGCCTCCCACCATCCCTCCCCACTCGCACAGCGCTGGCTCCCTCCAGTTCCAGTCCCATCTGCAGCCTCAGGGCCCCAGTCCCAACGCTCAGGCCCATGTCCAGGTGAATGTTCCCGGCGTCACCCACAGCCACAGCATGCCACCTTACAAGATGAACACAGAAGACCTCAATAAGGAGGACGTGATCTTCTTCTAAACTCCAGTGTGCTGCCCTTTGGATCAACCTGCTGATTGTGGAAAAACAACAAAAGAAAAAAAAAAAAAAATGATGTGATGGTTGCTGGTCCCAAATCAACCGTGTGTCCCATTCCAAGGAGCCTCTTACATGTGATAATGTGATGTTGATGGTATGTTTAGTGTGGTGTTATTGAGGCTTAAATGAAGGTAAGATAGTTTAAATATCTGTACAAAGTTACAGCAATCCATAGCAGAGAGCAGAGCCTTTGTCAGCACTACAGTGGCCCATGCAGAAAAAGAAGTTCTTCAAGAAAGGTGACTTGGTTCTATTTTAACACTGCTACCACATCTTTGTTTTAAGCTGCCACGGTTTCTTTTTTATTTAATTTTTAGCTAAATTTCTTAACTCGAGAAGACAAAGAGTAGTATAAAAAGGAAACCATTTTCGAAGAACAAAAGCTTCTTGTAACTTGTATGAAAAAGGTTTAAAAGAAGTTCTACCAATCCAAAGACATTACGGCGAGAGCTGAAGGGGATTTGACTGAAAGGTACAATGTGAAAGAAAAGCGGTCGGGGGATTTTCAGGAGACTCTGATCAGCTCGGTTAATGAAGCATGAAAAATGAAAGGTGCAGTGATGGCGCCCCTGGCCTTAACCGCCTGCTTCTGCTGGACCTGAAACCACAAGAAATGATTCAGGAACTCCAAAATGATCCAACTCTTAATACACAAATGCTCTCTGCTCGGTGTTTCATTTGCACAGTGTAAATACTCCATTCCAGACTAAGACAAAATGTGTATTGTTCGGTTGTACAGTTGTCAAAATTGTGAAGGTTCATTGCATTTTGTTGTTCTTGTTCTGCTTAATCATGCTTATTACAGAAGGCTGAACTTGTGGAATACATTTCTAGTGTTGCCGCTGGTTGTGAAACCAGACTCTGGTCAGCAGTTCTTTTTCCAGGCTGTTGTGTAATAATGCTCCATTTCAATTATGGAGAATTCAGCTTGTGGCAAATTCTTCTGTTTTTCAAAATGAGACAAACTCAGGGATGCCTTTATTATGTCTGTACAGTTTGAAGTTATGCTAGACTTTACTGTGTACTCCTTATCCTTCCATTAATAATATTTATAAACACCATTTCACGTACATGCAGTTGCTTTTGTGAGCTCGAGCACCAAGTAGGTTAGCTTATTGATAAAATATCACTTTTTTTAACATAGAAAGCGAGAAATATGTAAATTTGTCTATTCATTAATTAAATTAGCCTTCAATCGTTAGCATTTAAACGCATATTTCTCAAACTTTAAGCAGAGCTATTGACCCCATAGACATCCTGGGAATCACCGCTCATCAGATTGTACCTTGTAGACATCAGAAAGGCCTCACTAAGTTTGTCACACCCTGGGTTACATTTCACTGTAACTCAGGGTAATCCCCTTTAAGAGACACGTCTATGAGAAACATGGTGTACTGTACAATTCATGACATTTCATGCTGAATGTTGTTTTAAGGTTGAAATTAACATTTTTTTTTTTTTTTTTTACTGCTTTTAGAAGAGAACATTTTGGGAAAAAAGCTTACTTGGCGTAATCACACCATTTTTTAACAGATGATATGCACTGAAAATATCAAAATCCACAATCATATTAATGGAATATATAACTTAGAATAAAAGCCTCTATTTGTTATTCCCAAACAGAAACAAGTCAGATTATGACAACAAGCCCTAAACGTGCATAAAGGAGCACAGTGTTTAAATTGTTTTCTATATCTGTGATAAATATTCTAAAATTACCTCACTCCTGTGGTGCATTATAATATTTAATACACATTCTCCTCCTTAACCACTCAGTATATACTGAGTCCTCACAGGACAAGCATGGCGTGTATGGAGTCCCCAGTTCAATCCACTTCAGTGCTAATTCTTCAAATCTAGTTCATGTGATTGACAGGTCATGTTTTTGAAGGTTTGTGTCTCTGGACCTGATTTTGCTGACTTGGCAGTTTGTAAATCTGTCAGGATCGGTTTATTTTAGTGAAGCGGTATATCTTTGAGATATATATGAAGATGTCAGTTTTAATTGAGACCCTGAGGTCTCATTGACAGTGTGTTTTATTGATTGCTGATGACTTTTCATTAGCTGGGTCTTTAATCTCTGTGCCTGACAAAAAAAAGCAGTACGGTGACTAGTGCATTGGTCCTGCGGCAAACAGGACTATCAGCTGTTGTCTGAAAAAATTTCAGTTTTTATCTTTTCTCACAGAAGAAATATGGAGATTTCATTTTCTTTCTCTATATATACGCGAGAACCATTTAAATCATGAAGTAGTTGACACAAATGTGTTTTTTGTCTCTGGAGGGAAAAATGTCAGAAGAGCTTTTTGTCTTTGTCCAAATAAGCTTGTCTCTGAAGCTAGCTGGAGTGTTTATGTATATTATGTATATTGTTGTATATACTGTATGTGATATCTTCTGCACCGACTGCCCTCGTTACGCATTCTCGTATTAGGAACAGAGATATTTTGACGTGAATCAAGATGTCAGCCAAAAGTCTGTGCATATGTGTATATACACTTAAAATACACACACAGGTGTGTATGTACAATACGGTACGCCTTGCTTGGATAGACTCGTGGCAGTTTAATGAAAACACAATCAGTCATCGCTGTTGTGAACTGAAAATGAAGGTGTGCTTATTTAATCTCCTGGTTGTGTGTTGATGTTGTAGCATTGAAGTCGAGGTGCACTGTCTGTCGTCTTTCTCCTGCGATTCATGAGTGATGTTTCACCAAGATTATGTAGCAGTCATGAAAACTAAATCATCTGGTTGTTTCAGTCGGTTAAACCAAAGACACATTCGGTTGCCTGGGTTCCTGTCTGTGCTCTCGTATGAAGGATAAATGACACTGCTGGTTGTGTGGTCGTCCACAAAGTGTTATTACTTATAAAAACATCCTCCAGGGAGTGTCTGTAAAAAGTGTGTTTAAAGCACATTGTAGTCCAGCTCTTATACTGCTTCAGGTCTAATTTTTGATTTGCTGTTTGTTCTTTGCATTGTTTTCATCTTGAAACCAGAGCGTACACAAACAATAAATCAAATGGGGCGTTTAAGTATTCTCACTTATTGGCACAACCCAACGATATAGTCTTAATTTTTCATTATCAGGATATGACAACAATGGAATATGGATGTAAATGTGAACGTACTCGTGGTTTTCAGTGCTTGGAACCCTATAAAAATGTCTTTGACAAAACTATCTCAACTCAAGGTTCACTTACAAGCTTTTTCCCCTCCAGAGCTTTCAACCATAACACACGGTCTTCATCAGCATAGTAAAGCCAATGCTTAACATAAAGGCCAACTCGGACGAGAAGTCCTAAAAGTGCTATTGGTGAAATCATGGCAGCTACCTTGTCAAGACGAGTGAGCAGACTCAATCTGCTAGTGAAGACCAAGTGATATTGGTTGAAAGCTTAGGAAAAAGTGGGGCTTGAGTCGGGATTGTTTCAGGGTTACGGAAGACCTTTCATGTTAACTTTTAAGACATTTCCACATCTGTCCATTTTCCTGTACTTTCCAACTGTCTCCTTTTTAATTCTGAATGAGAGATGTTGGGCAACGGGAAAACTGGTGTATGAGCACTTTAGTTCTGCTCCAGGTACGAGACTTTTAGCAAACCTCAACAGTAAAGGTGGATGCTGCCTGTTGGTGCCACTGTTTGGATCAACTCAAGTCTTAAATGATCTTTTGCTGTACTGAAATGCTTAACCTTTTTGCTCTGTTTTAAAAACTTGGAAGCCAGTCAGTCACATCACTGTGTCTGTGTGTGTCTGTGTGTGTCAGTCTGTGTGTATCTGCGTGTGTGTTCACGCCACCAAAAACACTGAAGGAACATTTCTAACAGACGTGTTTCTTGTTGTGTTTTTTTTTTTTTTTAAATACACACACTCATGCACACATATTGGACCTGTAATGTGTAAATAATCATGAACGTATGTTATTTCCTCGGCCAATTTTACACTAGTCACTTTGGATAGTAGCATACTTGAAGGGGAAAAATGAATGTTTATAATGCTTATTATTATTGTCTGTGAACTTTTATTTACCAAGAGCTGTCTAATGACGTTTGTAGCACACAGCAAAACTGATTTTTGTACCATTTTATTTTATTCACTGCAAGACCTGTGGACACAAACTGCTGCCTTAGAAAGAGTTTAGTAATAAAAAGTCATGAAATTGTATTTGTCTGTGTATTTATTGTCTTTTGAGTCTTAAAATCACAACCAAGACACACTAATTGTTTGGTTTGCAGCATATTTGGATCATTGCTGTTTAGGCAGAGGTCAGGCATGCGATGAATATTTCCCGTTCAAATAAATTTGTATTTACAAGGATTTGTTCTCCCTTTTTTCCCCCACATGCATGTAACATATAATTCTCCCTCATTATTTAGATTTCTATTCAGTGGTTGTCAAAATAATCCTGACCACCCAATTAGCTAGTGTCTAGGTGGTGCATTAACAGTGTTATTGACCCTGTGTTTAGACAACCTAATAACAGTCTATTCCCAGACAAAGCTCTATTTTCAGGTGCTGTGGTTGTGGCTGTTCAATCCCTCTGTAGACCTTGCTAAGAGCAGGGCTGTCGGTTCCTGCGTTATTGTCCTTCTGGCTGGGAAGACGCTACAGTAGTGGCCAGTTTTTATTGTCTGCTGTCATTAGTGGCTTTCGTCTGTCTCCTCTCAACAATTATTTTTCCAGGCTGCTTCCCCTGTGGAGCGAAGCTGCATTTTTCATCTTTGTTTCTGTCTCGTTCCTTCCACTGCTCTGCCCATTTCATGTCTCCTTGTCTCTTCCCCTCTCATCCAGCGTCTCCAGTCCTCCTCAGCTCAACCGCTTCACAGCTCGGAGGCGTTTTATGTAATGCAGTTTGCAGGAAGTCAGGAGTCTTGGCTGTTGTTATTCTGCGTCAGAGGCCCTTCTCACCGCAAAGTTAAACAAATAGATGCTCCGCAGAGACGAACGTGCAGACAAACCTCCCTGCAGGGCCATAAAACGCTGAGACAAATCTTAGTTTGATAGACTCCGTGTCAGCAGTTGGTTTATATTTGTTTTTGCTCTTCTCTGCACTTTGCCACCATGCTTGTTTGAATGAGCCATTTGGCCATTTAAAGAGTTCAGCCTGGCTACTGAGCAACAGAAGAATATAAATTCTGGGGGTTTTTTTGGCTTGTGGCCCCTTAAAATGAAGCAGTGTCTACTTGCGACCCCCGTCACCTTGTAATTGAGTAATTATTATAATTCTACCTCGAATTCCCCAGAGTAATCTACTAGCTAGCAGCTCTGTGAGGCTTGGCACTGCGGTGCTTTTAAAATTCTAATGTCAGCGTGATAACATGCTTACAATGACAATATCAATGCTGACAATGTTAAGCAGGTATAATATATATAATATATAATATAATGTTTAATCTCCACCATCTTAGTCTAGCGTGTTTGCGTGCTAATATTTCCCAATTAGCAATTAACTTAAACTACAACTGAGACCATAGACTGTATAATTAAAAAGGTTGAGACTGCAAGTATTTGTCATAAACCATATTGGACAAACTTTGCATTCACGATTTGGTACATGTCTGTACCAAATCTTACGCTTATGGCAATCTATCCATTTGTTTTTGAGACATTTCACTTAAAGCCACAAATGTGAACCTCATGGGGGCCCTAGAGGAAAAGCCAGAGGATGATGAAAGTCGGATTCATCCTCCAGGAGCCATAAAAATCTATAAACGTTTTTAAGGACAATTCATCCAGCTGTTGTTGAGGATATTCAGCCTGGACCAAAGTGGTGGACTGAATGACCGACACTCCCATAGATAGACCCACGCTTCTAGCATGGCTAATAAAAAAAACAAATGTGATGTAGAAATACATGTTTTTTTCTCTGTTGCTATCCTGTTAATCATTTGCGACCCCTCAGATTTATCTTGCAACCCCTAACCTACATCTGCACTGTTTTAAGATCAGATTACATCGTCCTCAGCCTCCAGCTTGCTGTTTTTGCAAGTGATATTATGAAGGGATATGCTGCCTGCTTATCTGAGTGTTGTTTCATTGCTCCTGGCTGACACAAAGATCCTCTTGTTGAAAAAGACACAAAGCGGACTCTCTCTGCTAACACCCAAAGGTGATTATGGGAAGACAGCCGGTAGGAAAACAGGTTTCTCCGCCAAGGCTGATTCAAACTCTGCTTACATAACCTCCTTGGCAGGTTGTGGTATGTTCTGGAAACAAGACGTTTGGATAAGGTGTTTTGATTTTTTCAGGTTGTAGCTGTTATCAGTGATAGATAAGGAGCAAGACAGTAAAGGTCTGTGTCCTTCAACAATGGTGTGTAGTTACATATTTACAGTAAGTCTCCTCAGACACTAGATATTTCTCAAGGGTTGTAAAGTGTGATATGTAAACTTGGACTGATTTCATGCTGTCTGCTTCATAGTTTTGCTTTGGATGAATAAGAATCATTGTTCCTCCAACTGGTCTTCCATCTAGCATCGACAAAGGAAGTCCCTGTGTGGGGGCAATGGTGAAAAGGCCTCCTCAAAGAAAGGTTATGCCAGGTAGAAATCAGATCGGTTAGAGGGCTATTGTTCTGCCAGAGGAGACGCCTCAGGTGAATTGAAAGGGGGAGATGGATTATAAAGGAAGTGTGCTCTATGCTGACTCGCCCTTTGTGTTCACAGCATTTGCATTTTGCAGTCAGCTGTAGCCTAGTGACTGTCTGGTCATTCCAGTTTCATTCCCATGAGCCTGTGTGCTGATTTCACTGCATTGGGAAGGGATGAATGCCACCATTGTGATCATCGTTCCAGAGAAAACTTACTTGATTATCATGTAGTTTCATGGAAACAAATCATTGCTTGATTACAAGATAAGATTTATTCTAAGATAAAAGGAATCATTTTCGGAAATATGCATATTTGCTTTCTTTAAAGAGTTACATGAGAAGACTAATACTACTCTAATAATTGTCCTTTTAGTGGTGAGCTGAAGCTGGTGATAGCTACAAAGCCAAAATGCAGCAACTATATATTTGACCAAAATTGAGTTTAGACTGGAATCTTGATTTTTTTTTGCATCTGTTTTACTATGCATGAAAATATGAAACCACAGAAGTGTATCATTTCATGTAATTTCAACAGCATGTAAAATTTGCTGTGACAACAAAACTAAGCTTAGAGCCACTTTGCACTTTGTCACAGAAAAACAGCAACAGCAAAGTTTTAAAGCTAAAACTAAATTTGAAAAAAAAAACTGCCATCTCAGCTTGTAGTGTCTCAAAAGTTCATGCAATATAACTATAGTCTAGTTCATATAAATATTAGTAGCGTGGGCAAATACACAGCAAAACAAAGATACACTACATCTAAGGCTACATTCACACAGCAAGTCTTACCACTCAATTCTGATTTATTGCTCAGATCACATTTTTTATATATAATATATATATAATATATATATATATATATATATATATTTATTTATTATATTATTTTGTATATTTCCCAACATGTTGAACTATTCCTTTACAAAACTGTTTAATGTGCTGTTTGAACATACTCGGCTAATCGCTGCAGGAAATTCATTTTCTATAAACCCTGTGGTCTGAATGGCAGTTGTTTGATCACTAAGAAGATAATTTTCCATCTTTACAACGATTAACATTGTTAAATCAGTGCAAAGCTTTGAGTATTTTCCATCCGTAAATCAGGATGCAGTATTGTTCAAGGCTGTGCAGTGTGGGAGGTCTCTGTGGCATTTTCAAAGAAATAGAAAGCACTTCCCTCATACACACACACAAACGCACACTCACACACATTTTTTATACCTAAAGTCAAATGTTGTTGGTGCCAAGACAAATAGCCTCCTGGCAGCTAGCATGGAAAACCCTCTCCATGTCAGAATGTGAAGATGTGGGCAATTTAAGTAGCTAAGTTTCTCCCTGGAAAGACCCAATAGGAGCTTTGTGTTCATCAGAGTTGTTTTTGAAAGTCTGTGACAAACATTGGGGAATATGTGTACTGCTTTTAAGAGAATGGGAATAAGAAGTGGAAGGAAATCTTCACATGCACGTATATATGGAGTAAAAGGGAACAAAATGCTTGCAGGAAACCTTAACTCCAGATAGTAATGTGAAATGAATCTAAAGTGAATAAAAGGCCGCTGTAGGGTCTCACTATATCAGGTGAAGCAGATGCACTTCAGTTGATGTTGCACTTAAACCTTCCTTTATTATCTCAAGAAACTCTCTGTGGATTTGTTGTCTCTTTCCAAGAATGTAGCCTGAGGTGGTGCACTTCACTCCAATAAGCCCCTTTCAGCATCATCAAAAGCTGAGCAAAGTTGTTGTCTCTGTCTAAATAAGATGGCTTTGTGTCCTATATCTGTGCGTGCTCTTTTATATCTTCCTTGAGTGCTTCTGCAACTTCAGAACCACCACAACTCTTTGTCCCTGACAATCTTTTTGTTGAATGTAATAGTAGCTGATGAAGGGGAAAGGGGAGAGAGTTTTCTAGAAAGGTCTGAGACACATGCCGCAAAATCAGAGCGATCCAAACGGACAAACAGGGATGAGAATAACTGCATACAGCTTCCTCAGCACTTCCCTCTTTCTTCTTGGAAGAGTGGAGCGCAGCAGAGCTCATCACAAGTGTAGCCCTGCTCTGCAGGGGGGATCTAAACACAGCCTCTCTGATTTAGGAGCTGGAACGGAGCAGTCGCCAGCCTCCCACCAGAGCTGGCAGGGTTGGATGGCTGTCTGGCCGCTGTTGATGGAGGAAGGAGGGAGGGGAGGGGGTGGAGACGGGGAAATGCTGCCAAAAGACCAAAAGGCCACTAACTGCTGTAACGCCAAACACCAGAATAAGACAAAGCTGGGTGGA